TACGTTTATTCTCTCCAAGATTCCAACATCTGACAGGAAATCTACAAAATCATTATCATTGTTCAAACTACCCAGGTCCTCTTCTTTCTGTGTCAAAATCTTGGAACACAAAAGACAAAATTTAGGGTTAGGGAGTGTTCATTTATGGGGAGGGGTGCTAAATGGGAGTAATCAACTCAGTAACAAAAAAATTCTGGTTAAACTTTAACCCCCACCCCCCTCCCCCGTCACAAATAATGACCACTCCCTTAGGGGCATAAAGATGGGATCTATGCTGCTCAACCAGCCTATATACTAAATAAGGCTAAAAAGGATTAGACCTTTAGAAAAGAAGCTGCGTTGAATGTCAACTTTCCAGGGAAAAAACTAAAAATATCCCGGTAAAATACAGAGCATTCCCTTTTAATGATAAACCTTGTCAATTACGCTTAGTGCATCTTCATCCCTGATGTCCTCTGAGTTTGCATGTGATAATGACCTTGACACATCACCTGTAATGATATACCAGTACAATACTGGAGAAAATACTGGCATGCCCATCCCACACTGAACTATAGAGTGTGCCAACATCTTGCCAAGTATTTTCATCAGCCCTGAAAAAACATGACTTGCGGAATACACTGGCATTAGTCGCCCTGGTGGTCCCTCAAACAGCTTATATTGCTGGGAATCTTCCAGAGCAGTAAATACCATTGAACAAAATTGTCTTCTTGGGCCACCTGTATCTACTGCTGGCTGCTTCTCAAATGTGATTCGTATTGGGCACCTTGCATCAAAATCAGGGTGTTTATAGTAGGCCAGAGCATCTTCAACAGCTGTTTCCTCAGTGACTGTCAGCCTGACTATCTTGCCATTGACTTGCCTCCTAAGATTCTCATATATTTCCGAGAATGTATTGTTCTCTGAAACATTGTAGTGTTGTAAAAAGTCAAAAAATGCATCATCAATTTCTCTACTAGTAAGTGTAGTACTCTTGACTATAAAACATATGATATCATAATTTATGGATATTAGCCAAAAGACAATGAAAATCATCATATATATCATCATCATCTCAGAATATAAAGGTTTATATTGAACAAGCAGTTCCATTCTGTATTCTGGAAATAAAGAATTGAGCACTATGTAACTCTATGGAAGAATCTTACTGTAAAGTGTAGTTTACACATAGCTTTAATTGGCAGCCAGTGCAAGCACTTCAAAATCAATTTGACATGATCGGCCTTCCTGGCACCAGTCATTGACAATCAGCAGAGTTGCTATACCTGTGAAATTCTACACCAAGGACCCAGTTGGATCCTGTTTAGGAATAAGATCCTAAAAAAGATCATGAGAACAGGATCCTAATTAGGATCTAATTACATAGGATTACTTAAGGATCTCACACAGGACTGTATTTCTATGTAAGATCCCATCTTACCTTCTGTTTCTTGTATGTTCACGTCAACTTGGTAGGCACTTCTTTGTGCTCCCAAAATTTCTTCAACTGCCTCATCAAGTGAAGATGATACCTGGGCAACACTAGTTAAAATGGAGTTTTCGACATCTGGAAACATTTCCTTCAGCCTGTCAATCAACCCAACACCTGAAGAACTTGCAGAGCTTGCACTGCAACTAGGTTGTTCAGTACCACTGCTTGAATTTGGGGCAAAAGCTGATTTCATCAAGTCTCCATCTCCAATGACACTTACATGGATTAACTCAGCTTCCTGCATGATTAAAGCACAGTTTGCATTATGGCATGAACTCCCAGTATTAACTATGGTTAAACAGGGACAAGGTAAAATTGCCTTTGTTGTGTACTTCCTCATTTCTGTGGATGCAAAAATGTAAGACCTACAGACAGGACAGAAAATGATTTGCCTCTGCAAATAAGGACACCTTTGCATATATAAGCTCAAAATTTTGTAAATATGCTCTTTTGAGGCCAAAGAACAAAATATTAAATGACTTTTTTTTAATGAATGCGACTTTGAGAAATAAGGCCTTGTACTTTGGGGGAGGTGCTATTTTGATCAGCAAAAAATCTGACATTTTCATGAATATGTCCAAGCAGCTTTAATTCAATTCAACAGAATTTTTTTCAGTAGTTAGGATAACAATAGAGACAAATAATATGCTTCAAAGTTTGGAAAATCACTTCAAGTTAAATCTTTAAATCATGAAAAGAGCTGCCATGTCGTATTTCTGTCCTGTCATGCCTACCACAATTCCAACATTCATTTAGTGCAGGTTATAGAAGACAAAAAATGTAAATTATGTAAACTAAACTTACTGTTGTTTCTAACTTGGTTATTATCATGCATGGTTTCCACTAACCATGAAACGAAGTTTACATGTATGTCTTGGGCTGTGCAAAGCCAGTCTGACTTTATTATCATGTATGCTAAATGAAGACTATGAGCAATAAGAAAGCAGTCCATGCGCTATGGGATGAGATAATTTGCTATTTTGTCACACAAATGGCAATGATTCAATGTAGGACTTGCTAGTATGGTATTTAGACTGAAAATGCTAATAGTAAAAACAGAAATATGAAGCAACTTCTCAACAAACTTCTGTTAAAAGATACCTAAGCTTGTAACTTGGTAAAGGTACGACGTGGAACCAATTGATTCTACAGTAAAACATATAGGTCATGCAAACATATCTTACCTCTTTGACAGTAGAAGAAAAATCTTTTGTCATCCTAACATACAATGCTCCATGTTTGTAAATACCTCCCAAAGTATGAGCATCGAACATCTCATCTCCATCTGGAACAAGAACTTTTTTGTTAACCACTTTCACAAATTCAAAATCATTTTTATCACATTGTGACAAATCAATATGTGAAACCCTTCACTCTCTTAACTTTGCAGTGATTCTTTCTCTGATGGCATTCTCTGGATCAACCGTGCTATATCTGACTAGACCATCAAAGACCCATCTCATCTTTGAATTGGTCAACTTCTGGGACATCTGCTCCTGGGTATTCCAGTGCTACCAATCTTCTAAGCTCTTCTTTTACTTGTACTTGTGGCATTTTGCCCTTGTAAAAACTTCTTTTTGAGCCAGCTCTTTTTCGGTTTAACTTATCCGTCTGAGCATTGAACTGTGGCTGGACAGATGCTACATTGGTAGAGGAATGCATATTTGGATTCACAGTAGATTGACTGGACTGCAAAGATGCAAGGATATTTCTTGCTGATGTGACAGACGATGCAGTTGATGTACTAGACTGTGTAGGGCTAAAAAAACCCTCCTCAGCTCCTCCTGGACAACATCCTCTGCAGACCATAGAAAATGATTTTAGTGTTGAACTTAACTTGGTATAGTATGCTGTCCATTTCTTGTACACCCAGTAATAACAATATTTTAAAAAAGATTGCTTAAACTGTTATGCTACATGATGCAGACATTGCCTAAAATAATGCAAATTGCAAATTTAATACAGGAAAAAGAAAGGGACGCGGAAGGGAAGCCTAAATGCATCATAAGGATGAACTATTCTGCTCAATTACCTATTATTTAACGGCCTCTTATCATCAACGAGGGTGCTTAAAAGCCCCATCCCTTCCCCACCCTCATTCCCATCTCCTTGGTACCCCAGAAGAGCCATGTCATAAACCTGAAAAATGTCAAGCAAATGCTCTCGTAAATTAATTTTTGTCTTATGTAGGAGCCTAAATAGTTTGATATATAAACATATGCGAAGCTTCTCTACTTATTCTTTTGATATTCAGCCGATCCTTAATTGTATTTGCCCCCAGTCGCTTCAAGTCGTCATCTGTTACTTCTCCGTGACATATCATGGACAGTGTTACCTAGATAGCACAGAAACAATTTAATTTATGACACTGGACACCAAAAACAAATTCCACTAACAGCAAGTCCAATAATGAATTTGCATTTTGCTGCAAACACTGCAATGACACTGGAGAACAACTTACCTTCTCATTGCGAATGGCATCGACAATATTGTTAGCGGTACCATTCGCCTTAAGAATGTTACATCCCTGGAGAAGAGGAAAAAGTAAGAAAAAATGTTTGTTGTAAAATCAAATCAATGTATGTTTATAAAAGAAAGGCTTTCATCATATGAAGTTCATACCTTGTTAACTATGGCCTCGTGCGCCATTTTGGAAAAAGCACATGGGAAGAACTATCATGCCCTGTCCAATCTTGCCCGAAGTAGTGCCCAGGCCGCCATGTTTGCTCCCAAACATAGGAAGCCCAAAAACGAAAAATTGACTTGTTCCTAGGCCTCCTCGGTTACATATGGGACCTTCAAATCCCTTCTCTCCACTCCCTTAGTAAATTTAAGCACCTTGGTATAGTTAGTGATACTGAGTTCACTTAATTTTAGCGACAACGACTTCTTAGTTAGTGACAATGAATTAAGTTTAGCGCCTTGATAGTTAGCGACAACGAAAAATTTAATGTTAGCGACAACAACTTCAAGTTGGCGACAACGAGTTTAATTTTAGGGACAACGACTTCAAGTTAGCGACAACGAAATAAAATTTAGCGACAACGACTTCAAGTTAGCGACAACGAATTCAAGATAGCGACAACGAATTTAAGTTTAGCGACAACAAATTTAAATTTAGCGACAACGAAATTAAGTTTAGCTAATTTTGAAACGTTCGGACGACGATAGCAAGCTGTTGATTCTTTCGTAAATGCAAATTTATATATTTCACTTCATGCTGATTTTGTCGCTGTTAAAATCTCCAGCTCTTTAAAGAACAACTTGTTTTCTTCAGGTGTATGAACCTAGAATTGCAATTACATAAAAAAATAGGATGCTAAGCGATTTTAAAAATGAAACCCTGCTCGTTACTAAATTTAGCTCCAGCTTAATCACGCCTAAAGTCCCTCCTGAAAAGTTCCTTAGAATGAGCGACTATTGAGCTTCTTCAAACCTGAGATTTTGTTTTGTTTTTCACAACAATGCACCACAAAGCAAAGCTGTCACAGTGAATAACGAAAGAAAAATCTTTTCCTTCCTGATGTGTTCAAGCTGATGCTGAGCCAATGCATACGTTCATCTGAGCTGGCATGTCCATTGTGTCAGTCTCGTGTCTGTGTTGTTTGCTTAGTTCTGTACTATACTTCAAAACATTGCGAAACCCCTGCAGGGGTGGACAAGACAGGATCCCAGGGTCATGTGCTTTTCCCCTGATATCCACCTCACAAACATTCATTACATTGAGGGAAATTTTCTATGATAGGTTTGGATCAACTGTTGTCATTCATTTTTGCTTGGAAAAGTAATCACAGATTAGGAGGTGCAGTCAATGTCATTCAGGGTTTTCAAAATGTTTTGAAGTAGGTGGCCATCTCTGGAAAAGTAGGCAGCTGTAACAATTTAGGGACTGCAAGGCCTCTGAAGCTAGGGGAATCTAGAGTAAGTCGTACAAATTTGTTGATCAGGACTTAAAGGGTTAAGGCAAAGTCATTGAATGTTAACCAGGGTTGGAAAAAAAATTGAACTTCACTTCTCCAATGGACAAGTAAGGTTCTATTTGTACTTGTCCAAAGCTCAGGTCTAGATGTCCTTGCATGTCGAGTTAAATCCAAGTTCTAATGATGCATGGTAATGGATAAGAAGCATGAACCCATTTATTGTTGGAACTCAGATAAAACATACAGTATTTTAAGTGTCAATAAAGTACTCATACAAGTAATAATATGCTTATATAGTGTGTTGTCATTCACATCATGTACTACCCGACAGGGGAAGGTTTCTTTCCAAGAAACCCTAAACTTTCGAACTGGTATGGTTGGGCTGTCACAATGTTTTTTCTCGATGACCCCAGTGTTTTCTGCGGAAGGATTTCCTTTCCTCTTCAGCTGCTTCACTGGTGCACCAAAATAGCCTGTTATGCTTCGGTGAGCCACCATTGTGTACGAGCGGAACTGCTGGTACAGAGAGTGGATCTGGCAGACTTCACGCAAGCGGCGGTTCTTCAAGATGGACATGGTCTAGGTCGTACGGCCATTGATGGTCTGTAAGGGTGGTTGTTGGCATTCGTCGCCGGCAGTATATTTTTGAATAATAACCATACAAAGCGCTCACATTAAAACAATAAAAAATAATAAAGGAATATTTTCACTTTTTTTTGCATAACCCTTTCACTTTGAGCAATGTTTATTAATGGCAGAGTTATTTTTACACAGATCGAGTCATGTAAGTGTGTTTTGTGTGGCACAGTTCAAAGGAAGGTTAATAGCAGAGCCCAGGGTTGCTTGGACAGCCACAACACTGATAATGACTTTCTTTGTGAAGTACCTTCTTGTAGAAAACCCTGCACTGTTTCTGGGGTTTCTGCCTTGCCTCTGTTGCTAGGATGGGGGCGATAAAGTGTCACTCAGTGAACCTTGCAATGTGTTCCTCCTTGGGCGGGTCAGGATCTCCATTTCTGTGTCCAAAACGTAGACTTACAATAAATTATTATATCGTGCTCGAAAGCAAGTAAGGGCTTTATTATCCTTCTGATACACAATGAAGCTAGTCAAAAAAGTGCAAGTTGATTAAAGTGCATTGCCACCTTTTTATACCACTTTATATATTTGGGAATTTCATATGGCTGCATCAGTTGTTTTGTGCGATCCACACCACCCATATATTTGTTGTAGTGAAAAATACAGGCTGGTCTGATGCTGGTTCTTGTGATGTCTGTCTTGTCTGTGCAGCATGGAATGGTCATGAATTGTGCTTAGCGTGTAGACATATTTTTTGTCCTTGAACTTGAGAGCCAAAAGTTCATCTCATGGTATTGCCATTACTTCACCCTTCTTCAACTTTGCATTTTTCACTTGCTGCGGAAGCCCCTTTCAGTTGCTCCTTATTGTGCCACAAGCCAAGGTTCCATGCTGATGTAAGTACTTGTACAATGGTAAAGTAGTATACCAGTTGTTAGTATGCAAATGATAGCCCACTTCTAAAAAAGGGTGCATAAGATCAACCACTACTCTTTCAGAGACTGACAACTCTTGCTATGCAGGCACGACATTCTCTTAACCAGTATAAATCTTGAAGTGATAGGTGTATCCACTGTCTTCGCCCAACATAAACTTTTTGATGTCAAATGAGGATCTTTTCAGGAGTATGTATTGCTTGAAAGACGACCTTCCCTTCCAAAGAAGAAAAGATTCGTCAATAGAAGCATTTTGGGCTGGTGTGTACAGTTCCTGGAACCTCTCAAACAGGTGGTCAATGAGAGGTCTCTGCTTGTTGCAGGAGACATTATGGCAATATCATTAAAGTGAAGAAACTTCAAAATCAACTGAAAACGATTGCAACTCATTATGGCATTGAAAACAGGAGTGGAGTACAGAGGATCCTTAGACCAAAATAAATCAAGGCAAGGTTTATGAACAATTCCCATCAGAAAAAGCAACCCAAAAAACTGTCTCATCTCTCCAGGCTGTGTCATACCAGTCACTAGCACGACTCGATCTACCCAGATTAGTAGAATAAGTAAAATTGTTGGCATAACGATTAGCTTCAGTTGCAAAATTCATCAGATTGTCACTGATGTAAAGGGCAAAATAATCATATGCCTCAAATCCTACAGTAGGTACCTTTACTCCAGTGTTTGCTGTAAATGGAAAACTACTTGGAGTACCATTTGCCATTCGCCAAACAGGCTTAGGCTGCTGTTGTCTTGGCCTAGTTTGTTGCATTTGGTGTCTGCTGCTTTCTTGGCCTTCATCTGAAGAATATTCACCATCAAAGGAATCTTCACCCTCAGAATCATGAGAGTCGATGCTTTCGTCATACTCATTCCCTCCAGAGTTCTCCTCAAAATAACTAAAATTGCTGTCACTATCGAAAAAATGTTCCTTTCTGGACTCATTCCATATCTCATCTAACACATCTTGACCAGTTTTGTGTCTCTCCATATTTCAACTAGGTGCATCTTGAAAACAATATGGCGGATGATGCACGAAAGTGTTTATGTCTGATCTATAAACCCGTTTTGCTAAATGTGGGACTAGGCACTAGTAGTTACCAGTTTAGCAGTACAGTATTTCTACTTTGGTTTGAGTACCTTCTTTTTGTTTCTTTTCAGTTAATATTTCGTAATTTGCAGTTAATGTATGATATGTAACCCTGGCTACTGTACCTGTCTCATGGCTTAAAAAAATTAATGGAATGTTACTGTAAAAGTCAACTCAAGAACTGAACTGTATTAAAAATCATAACTGTGGTAACAACTGTGGGCAAACTGTTTACACTGAACTTCTAGTAAGTACGGTTGACTTATTTCACTGCTGTTACCAATAAATATAACTTTGATACAGTTTCTGCTAAAACCATATATGTAAAAAGTCCTTTTAACTCACCAGTCACACTCCCTTTGTCAGAACGTGAAAGACAGAATGGCTTGGTTTTAAAAGCCTTTTCTTTTGTTGATGCCAAATAACAAGTGTTAGTTCATCCTCTTTGCATAATGCTTTTGAAACAGCAGCCTCAAAGTTTGCACTTAACTTCCCTGCACTCACATCATGTTTGTGATCTATCAGTTCTTCGTGTTGCATCATGCTGCTGGTTTTAAATGTTTTGAATTTCGAGGTTATGGCATTTTTTTGCCATGTTTGAGGGAAATCTTACAGATCATGGCATCTCTTTCGTACACTAGCCATGGCTATAAAGTTAGCCACTTCTGGAACTTCCCGTCTGCATTTATACATGCACTTGTGTGCCTTGAAAGTGTGGTTGGAGTGCTCGTTTCTTCACATTTATCAGTCGTGTTGGTGTTATCATTTTTGTGATCTAACTTATCGAACTTTCGTTACAAAGACTTAAGAGTTTTCTTTACCCTTGACCATCTAATCTTGGAACTTTCTTTGGATACATTTACAGTCAACTCCCGCCTTGAGGACACCTCGCTATAACGGACTCCCAGATAATACGGAGAGCGATTAAATCCCGGGCAAAAATAAATTACAGAAGCTTGACTGAAATAAAGTGACTCTATTACGGACTGTCGCTAATGGGGACACTGACTCGAGATCCCTACAGTGTCCACTATAAAGGGAGTTGACTGTAAATGAAAATGCAAATGAATTCTTATTCATTTGGGTGAAAACGATGAAAACAAGAGTGAAGCGCATGTTATGGCTTGACAGAACCTCCTTTTTGAGCTGAAAGTGAGGAGAGGTCTGGGGATGAAAATAAACGAAAAAGAAAGATTGCAGATCAAAGAAACAAAGATATTTCATGTTTTTATTTTTGGTATTACAAAAAAAATACACAGATTGAAGTGCTTATCACCTATTACATGACCAGGGCGTATGCTGGGCCTGGTTGGCAGTTTTTTGATGCGACATTTTCTAAATTTATGCGCCATTTGCACATAGTGCAAGGCCTTCCCAATCCCTGTTAACATATGGTCAGGAACATTGCACACCAGAGCTATTAAATGGGTTTCCTTTCTAGAGTGTATATTGCCGTTGGATTATGCAACCAGGGGTTTTTAGGTATAGTTCTGTCACTTTGAAATGGATTATAATGACAGTTGTAAACGACTCATAAATAAATACTAAAACATGAATTTGTGTCACTATTTTTACCTTATGATTAATTATGAATATGGTGTGTTTCTTTACATTCAGTAGTACAGGGCTGTCAACTATAGGGTTTGAATTTGCAACTGATACGGTCGCCAGTGCGATTGACATTTCTCCTTGGTGATGAAAAATTCTGGTTTAGTCACAGACCTAATTCTTTAGGGACAGTCATTCTGGGCCAGTAGACACTTTCCCTGGCCTGTGATGGGCACCCTTCTATGTCAATATGCGATCTGTTAACTCTGGATGGGAGGGCCCCAAGGGATATCGAGACAAGGCATTGATTTCCTTGAAATACGATTCCGTCTTCAACTGCGAGCTGGTTGCACACTTTAAAATGTGGCTTGATTTGGTGATGGAGATTGTTCTTGGTCTCAGGCCATCTGTTCTTGATTACTTTCTGAAGAGCTTATATTGAGCCATCTTGTTTACTTTGCCTTTGCTTGAAGTAGATTTCAAGGTCTTATTTCTGTAAGTGAAGCAGCATTGTTTGACGATGGTTAGGAGCTGCGATAAGAGGCTCTTTGTAGATAACCTCCAGTGGTTTGTTGTCCCTTTTGATAAACACATTTTTTGATTAAATTTCTCTGCTCCAAACACATTGCTAAAAGTTCCTTTTCAATCTGTGTGTAGTTGCGCTCTGGGGTGCATATGCCAGTTGGCTGGCCATTTTGAAGAAGTGTGGGTCCAAGACCAGTGGTTGATGTTTTGCACTGTAACACTGTCTCCTGTGCTGGATTTAAGTATCTTAAGACAGGTGCTTGAGTTGTAGCTTGCTTGATTCTTTTGAATGCATTCTTATGAGCCTCACTCCAATGCCAGTTAGCATCTAAGCTGATCAGTTGGTGTAGAGGGTTGCAGATGTCCGCTAGATTTTAAAGCAATCTTGTGAGATAGTTTTCAATTCCAACCAGCCATTGAACACCGTTCACATTGGATTGGTCAGCTCATGTTTTGGATGGCTTCTGTTTTGGATGGGTCTGGTTTTAGGCCATCTATTGTTAGCAGGTGACCAACACAGGGAACCTCGGACACCTTCAGTTTGATCTTGCCCTTGTTTAGCTCAACACTCTTTTTCTCCATCTTGCTAGGAGGGCAGAAAGATTCTTGTCATGTTCATTGACAGCATGTTGTTCCAAGATCTAGAACTGTGACTTATGAAGACAGGGCACTTTCCGTTGCCAAACCAAGACTTTGGAATTAAACGCCAGTTTCCTTAAGAAACGCTGCCAACGTCAATGCCTTTAAGCATCAACAAAAAGCCATCTCTTTAAGGAAGTTTACCTTTTAAATTGTTTTACCTTATTTAATCTGTTATGTCAGAATTTTTAATTTGCTAATGATATGTATTTAGTTTATATTTCTAAAGGATAGATTTAAACAAATTTTGTAGTGTAGATTTTTGTAGAATGATTTGTAAAGCATTATGAGCAGTTAGCAAAATAACTGTTTATAAATAAACTCATTATTATCATTCGAAGTTATCGTTTTCACCAGAGATAAGAATGTCATCTGCAGCTGTACGTACATCTAGGAGGCCTTCAATTGCTTGATCTAGGTGATGCTGGAAATATTCTGGGGCAGGCGAAATGCCAAACAGGAGTAGTGATCAAAGGTTGTGAGACAGCTAGATTCTTCCTCTAACTCCACGTGACAAAATCTATTTTTAGGTCACACATGATGAAAACTTTGGCCCTTGACTAGGTCATCAATGATTGGAAGTGGATAATGGCGACACTTGTATTGTTGAGCTGTTTTAGGTTGATGTATACTTTTAACTTTACCATTGGGCTTCTTAACAACCACTAAGCTTGACACCCAGTCTGTTGGCATGCCAACTGGTTTAACCCCTTGAGTGCCAATACCATTGCGTATGCTGTGTGCCACACCATTTTCACTGTAAATGGGTGTCTCAAAAGAAACATCAAATCCTGTGAGGGTTTTGTCTGTAGGTACAAACATGTATACATTTTCTGAAAGGCCATTTAAATGTCTTTTTAACAAGATTAATTTTGATGAGTTTGACATCATGTGATACCCTTGTGACATCACAACTGTGGGAAAATTAGCATTTTTAAACATTTCTTTTAAACAAAAACAATGCACAAGTAAGTCTCTCAGCAGTTAAAATTGTGTGAAACTGAT